AAGTGTGGCGTGTGCTACTGATAAGATTTACCAGTAGTATATAAACAGACCTTCATCGGTAGCAAAAAAAACATCATATAGCAGGGAGAGGGATTTGATTGCAGGGAAAGCAAATGATACAGCCTTCCATAGATACATGGGGGACGTGAAAGGAACAAAAAGAAACGCACACAATATGAAGGAAGAGCAGACAAGTAGCACAACACGGAAGATCTGTGCAAATGGTGCGTTGAAGAAGATAAGGTGTACATAATTTGGCTATATAATAGAGATACCAGATTCCAAATATACATTCCTTTACCAATTGTGCTATTTGATGTTTTTATGCTAATAAATGTTTCTTTATATACTACTGATAAATTTTATCAGTAGCACACGCCAAACAAGCAATGCTGGTTGAAGCAGAATTAAGTTGGAATAAAAATTTAGGAATCCGTATGAATTGTTGGTCTTTCTACTTGGAATTTCGATATACTAAGAATAAATGGTTGCAAAACTCTCGGCGAAGGTGACACGGGTGTATGCAAAGGTTATCAGCAAATTTATTAAAATCACTACACAACTCCATATTTGTTCACTGTAATTTCCAACCACTTTCAGCTCATGATGAAATCTTGTTCACAGTAATATTATTAAATCTCTGTCCATCTTCTCAGTTTTTGGCTTTATACACCGTCCTACACTTTAGACACTTGAGGACTATTTCCGCCACATTTTACAGACAAGAATATACAGTCAAATCCTATGAAATGTGACTTGTCATCGATTAACGGAGTAGATACTGTACTTGAGCTTGGAATTCAAATGTAAATTAGCTTCTGATATCCTTAATAGAAGGATCTCACAGTCCCTGGAAAAGACATTCCCTGCTGAGTCGTTGGGAATAACGTTTTCTAGGCGACTATTACTGTTCAATAACCTGAGGGACAAGATCCCACGGTTGATCAACTCTGCTCGTGTGGAGCCAGGTGTATCAGACGTTCGACTCGTGTTTTGTCCAAGAGAGTGTAAGAACACTAACGCGCATGGTGGTTACGAAGAGGTGGAAATAGAGCAATAAGAAGCATGATCATTGAACATATGGTCGACAATGATCACCCCATCTTCTACAGCCTCGGCCTTTAAAGTTATCTACAAGGCGAAAAGTAATTTACCGAAATCACTACATATCCAACTCATCTGTACTGCTCAAGCCATCTCTAGCCATTGTAATAGAGAAGCCAGATCTCTGTATACAGATAAAGTTCGTTCAACCCCTCCAACTTTCATGGTCTTAATCCTTCTATGCTAAAGTATGATAATCCCCCTTTCATATTTTGGATCTACTTATTATTTTATGTTTTGTTTATTCAATTTGTATACTCTTCCTTTATTACGTCAATTGTGACTACTATTACTATTACTCTCACTCTGAATTGTCACCGGTATTATTTCACTCGTCCCACTTGTCATTCTAAATCGATTTTGTTTTACAACATTAAATTCTATGCTATCAAATTTCACGCAATGTTTTTAATTTTTATTCTATTTTTGCCTACTAATCCTATAATTGCACAACACTCCTTCCAACATTTATGCATCCTATGAATTATTCTATATATGATGTGAATTGTTTTGCCACTTGACACTTAACTATGATTAGTGTCAAAAATATTTCTTAAAAAGAACCATATCTGTATACGATTGTACTGCTTGATAATAAATGCATTGAAAGGAGTCTCTTCGTAGAATCACCTATTTTGATTTTGTAACTGTGAAAGGCTCCAGGAACTGATACTAGGTATTGGTTTGAATACCCTTAACTCTTTCCCAATCCCAATTCGATGCCAGCTAATATTACTTGATGAGAAAGGCGGTAGTGGCTCGGTGACATGCGTAACACCTGCTCTAGCCATCTCAACTGATATGTACTGGTTTGAGAATCTCAGAGAGATTTAATTCCAACTTCCGTTAATTCGCGATATTTAGCGCAACCGGTTCTCTTACCTAACTTGATGGAACCCGCTGGTTAGTACTTCTTACTAGAACTCCAAGTAACTTCCTGTATACAATCAGTCTCTAGTGAACATCGGATCTGTTCAAATTTCCATTTTCCAGTGTTGTTTTGTAAGAATTTGACTGGTTACAATCTTGATGACGAAATGATATCAGTTAGAGAACTACTGTAAAACCAGCACTGGAGTACTGGACAGACAGTTGCTTCGTCCCATTTTGAAGCTCTTCATCAGTACACAGACCCTAAGATTTGAACGAGTTCGTAGACCATTTCATCACTGCGAGTACCTGATTTCTTATCTGACCAAGTCAGGTGAGCTGTGTTTACACCTTCAATGATAAATTAATGCAAAATCGTACACCACACACAATGAAGCATACTCACATTATATACAGTGTTGATCGATACACCGCATAACTAACGGAATTTAGTTGATTAAAAGTAACAACCTGAATCAACTAGCCAATTTTTAAAACTGGATTATTACTATTATTATTGTTCCCTTGGGGGCTTCAACTACACGTCTCCACTTGCTTCTGTCTTCTGCTGTACTTTTCACCTACATCCATGTTATTCCATACTGTTTCAACTCCTCTTCACACGATCTCCTCCATGTCACCCTTGGCTATGGCCTGACGCACGAGGTCACCCAGCAGCCTCCTCAGCGAGTGTCCAATCCATCTCCACTTTCTCTTGCATATTTGCTGGTGATTGGTTCTTCTTTTGTTTGTTCCCATAGTGTCTCGTTGGTGATTCTTTCCGGCCATCTGATCTTCAGTATAGAGCGAAGACAGTTGTGGTTGATAAAGGTCTGCAACAGGCTGTTGGAAATATTCTTTGTGACCCACCACGTTTCTGATCCTTCCGTATAGAAGAACTGACTGACTTGACGTTTGTATTGAAAACCCGAATCATTTTGTTTGTTGATGCAGGCTGAGTGACGAAGATTTCCAGATTGGTTTCAGGTTGATGAATGTGTTTCTCGCCTTCCCGATTCTCGATTTGACATCCTCGTCCGTTCCTCCTGTAATTGAGACAATGCTCCCTAGAAAGATAAGTGAATGAAGTGACCTCTTTCAAATCCCTCCCGTTGATGGTGATTGGCGCTGGATGTTGCTGCTGTTGTTGTTGGTTGGTTATTTTCGTGACCTCCGTCTTGTCTATGTTCACCTGGAGTCCTGTCTTTGCTGCTTCTTCGATCAGTTTATCGGTTTTCGCTTGTAAGTCTTCGATCTTGTGTGACATCAAACATAAATCATCCGCGAAATCCAGGTCTTCTAGGTTCTTCTTGTCGGTCCAGGATATCCCTGTCTTCTCGTTTCCCATTGTGTGACGCATAATCCAGTCCACCACAATTAGGAATATCAATGGTGATAATAATAAAACTGGATTGATAAACGTATTTATTTTTTTAATTATTTTATTCAAAAATGTCAAGATGACTAGCAGACTGCTTCATGTCTAGCCCAGAGAACAGTCCACTCAAGTTGTCCATTGACAATTTACAACTGTATAAACGATACGTACATCGCATTTTCGTCATTTGCGACAACAGTTACAACCGAAGTCACTGGCTACAAAAATTCAACAACTGCCATCCGGTAATAAAATTCACTCTAGAAATTGAGTGAGAATCAAAAATTCCTTTTCTTGATGTGCAACTAGCAAGACGACCCAACGAAACCTTAAGAAGGTCAATCCATAGAAAACCCACTTGGAACGGTCAGCTAACAAGTTTCTACCGATGGGTACGTATTGAGTGGAAAGGAAATCTGATTAAATCCCTTGGCATTCGGATCCGACACGTCTGCAGTCCTGACGCCCTGGAAGCAGAAGTGGATCTTCTGAAAGAAACCTTCAACCGAAATAGATACCCACCAAGATTCATCGACGTGAATATCAAACCAAAGGTCCAGAGAAACGAAACATAACTTGTTTCAAAATAGAAACTTTACATGAACCCAAATTTCAAGACATACTTAGCTTGCGGTATCCTCAAGATATGTATATGTGTATATATCAGTTTCCCTGTTGCTGTGGAGCAAGGTAGGTATACTGGTCATTCGACATGTATCCTGTTCTAAATGATTCGAAAACACTATCTCGCATGGCTGCAGTGAGGTAGCAGTGGCTGTATAAGGAGTGCGATCACCGAACACTTTATCAAAACTGGTCACATTCCATCTCAACAAACGCCCCCTGCTTCAAAGTGATCTACAAAGTGAAGAATAGCCTACCAAAGGCAATGTGCTTTCGTCTCCTATGCATTGCTGAAGTCTTAGCCATTCAGTTGCAGAAACCAGAATTATGCATACAAAAGAAAATCATCCAACCACTTCTACTGACTTGATGTTTGTGTGCTTGTTTTTTTCTAACTCCTTATAACATTTGTAATTTTTAGGACTCTTACATAATTCCATATTTTCTTTCGTTTCTATGTGTATCCTAATCACAACTCACTCATTAAACTATTCACCTGATTACGTAACCGCACTACGCTTATTCAACTTCTTTTATGTGTTGATTAACACCAATAGCTACGTTTGTTTTTTAGACAACGCATCACCACTACCCTCTACCAATCTCTACCCTACCCCCCCACCTCAGTTACAACTTGATTATTCATCACATTTCTAAAACATCTTGACGACGTCTTATCGGACAAACCTAATGTACACACACATACAAAAATAAGTATATATAATTGCGATTGTATAGCTAAGTGGATGACTTCGCCACCGAAAAGAGACTCTTCGCTGAACTACGCCTTTCGTTTTCATCAATGGCAAGTAAACATATGTGATTGATTGGTTGTCTAAGGGCATTACATATACACACAAATACATCCATAGTGCATTTACTTTCCCTCTGTCTATCTCTCTATCGGTGTATTGATCGGTATAAAATTTTTAACTAGGTATAGAACACATGAATGAATAAAAAAATAGTCAACTTGTTTTGGAATGTTTACAAAACAAGAAGGTGTGTTACAAATTTGACTTACCGAACTACACGATTGTGACGTTCCCCTACAGGTATACTACCGTCTAATCGTGTTGCAGTTATCCATGGAAATAATTCTCTGAAAGGCAAATAAAAAATTTAAAAAAAAATAAATAAAAGAATGAAACTAAATCAACCAGCGCATGTGAAAGACAAACTGTCACTCACATTGAGCCACTTTAACATGCATATAAATACCAGTTCACTTGCTTTGTATGGAGCTGAGTGAGTACACTGGCAGTGCGTAACAAATGAGTCGGCTTGTAAAACGCCCTCGGGAACACTATCCAGCATGATAAGTAAAAGGAGAACGCAGTGATGTATACGGTTCGTTAACAAAACATCTCGTGAAATCAGGACATTCAGCTTGATCTGAAAAGTCACAAAGAGTGAATGAATCTGCGCGAGCTATTGACAACGATTTTGAACAATATCACTAATTGTCTTCAGTCACCAACATTGCTTCTTACCATCCCGAGGACCACAACCAGTCAGTCAGTCAGTCAGGAAATCTACCCCCCCTATGTGGCTGTTTGGGTAGCTGGCCGGCTTAAACTAACTGTTGTGGATTTATTCCACTGACTGACTGATGAAGCCATGCGTCCCTTTGACCACCACCACAACTAGCCAACTGTTTCCCGACCTCATCCATCCTATGCCAGTCAGTCCGTTGTTGAGGAAGGAGATCGACCGATGGCTAGGCTAGGTTAATCATGGGTAACACATGTCCTCCCTACAATCTCTCTCAATCGATGCAGCCAGCTCCACAACCTCGTCGATTGATTTCGATTGATTGAAATGAGTAACAGTCACGTACTTAGATAACCAAAGATCAAAATTTAGTGTGCAAAAGGTCAAATGAAGAGGTGATGATGTAATATCACTAGGTCATACAGAAGAAACGAGGCGATGGGGGCGTTGAATGAAAAGGTAAGTCAGTGAAGTTAGAAGACAGAGTTATTAAGGGATGAGTCACCAGGGTAACTAAAGTCCAATGACAGATTCCTTTCAGACATATAGGTCAGGTTTCAGCTGTTTTATTGCAATAGGCTCAGCAAAGCGAAGAAGACTTAAGCACCTACTTCGTCTGTTAATTATTTTAAATGATGCCAGCGCGTATACTAGGTGTCCAATGTGACTATCAGGTGTTTGGCGATTGAAGAGCTTTAACTACTTAGCCTCTTTAACCGTAAGCTCCTTGGTACATGTTCGAAGAATCTGACTTGAACCCTTCTTTCTGTTCTTCCAACGTAACTGCTCCCGCAGATATATGTAAATTGGTATACACGGTTTGAGGTGACATGTAAGATGTACTTGTCAATCTTTGACTGCATCAATGAGGAGGATATTGGGAGCAGAGAAACTAGTTTTGCTTCAGGATACTTCCTGGATTTCTGATTCTCATAGTATCATCGCCTTTAAAGTCGAGTTTGATGAAAACTGGCTTCTTGCTAACTGTAGTCGTATCAGCTTTCTTACGTTCATTCTTACCATATTTATTAATGAAATTTTGTGTATAACCATTTTCCCTCAAGTAATTCTCAAGCAGCATTAATTCACTGTGTAATTTGTCAGGTGAACATGTTCTTTTCGCTCTGGGGAAGAGCGTTATCACCACTCTTCGTTTGTAACTAACTGGATTTTATTTTTATTCCTTTACGTTCCCAGTGGAACATAGGGCTCTACAGGATGCGGTTGCTAGCCACCTCATTCCCAACCTTTCCTCTTCACCAGTCTTTTTACTGGCTCAGCGAGGTAAAGGAGTGCGTCCAGTGGCCGGGGATCGAATCCCGGACCACCTGTGTGGTCGGTGAGCACCCTATAGCTGTGCCATCGACGCACAACTAACTGGATAGAAGCTGCTGAAATTTAAGTAGAGACTGCTCTATGCGTCTTTACGATATATCGAACTCCTGAGTGTCCCATCCAGTATACCAGCCAAGTTTTTTCATCCAAAGCTACCTTGTGAAACTGATGTTTCATCTCTCCATGACACTCTCTTAAAATATGCTTATTGATAGACAAAAGAATGTTAAAATTTTAAGCTGACTTTTATTTATTAAAGATTATTGGGTTGTATGCAGATGATGAGAACCACCAACGAAACATTAAAAATTGATCCATGTTTATTTTGAGTTAATGTTTATTTCTTCGCTGCTTAAACTTATAAAAGGGAATTTTTGAATGAATCAAGTAGAACTAGCCGATTAAATTGACATCATATTAAGCAACAAATGCCACTTAGAAGACTGGCAGTTTATGTCAATATACTACTGAATAAAACTGACAGTGAAGTATGCTATTGTCTCGTGTGTCTCTTTTTAATTTTCGGACAAGTATACACACAACACTATCAGGTATCAAAATAGACAGAGAGGCAAATAAAACCAATCGACATTTTAAAACTTTCAACAGTTAGATATTATAAAAGGGATTTATAGGTTATCGATTTTTTCAAGGGTTTGCATTTCATCACGAATCAACATTGGTTAGTTAGACGGATCATTGGAAACTAGGGAGTGCTGGGCAGCTGTTCCATCCTGATCTGGGAGTATTCAGTAGTACAACACACACATGACCCCACCAGGGATCGAACCTGCGATCATCAGGTCATGAGACTAAGCCCGTTAACCGTTCAGCCACTGAAGTTATATGTTGTTATTATTGTCCCCTTGGGTTCCCAGTGGAACATACGGCTTCAACAATACATCTCCACTTTCTTCTATTTTCCGCCATCCTCTGAGGCTGGCTGGGTCCACGACTGTCCATATTCTGTAATCTCCACCTCCATGTCACCCTCGCAATGATGACCTACTCGTCTCTTCCCGTTCGGGTTCCACTCGAGTGACGGACGGCCTGCATTGCGCGCGATGACATTCGACAGCCTCCTCAGTGGCGCATGCCGGGTCAGTTCATCTCCATTTTCTCCTACATACTCGTTGAGCGATCAGTTATCGATTGGTTGGTTCATCGCCAGAGTTTCTTCTTGTTAATTCTTTTTGGCCAACCGGCCGGCCAGTCATTTCATCTTCAGTATGAAGCCGGTGAAGTTGGCAGCTGTTGACACAAATCTGCATTAGTATGTTGAAAATGCTTTTCGTGACTGACTCACGCAAGTCAGTGCAAGTTTCTGACGTGTATAGAAGAACTAATTGACTGACTGACTTGACATTTGTGTTGAACAGAATCCGAATCCTGTTCTTTATGTTGAGTGCAGAAGATTTTCAAACTGGTCTTAGCCACTTAAGTGGGAATTCAATAACTCCTGAATTCAAACTGCTACTACCCCATAAAATCAATGCGCTTCCCTTTACCTTCACATGATGGCTCCCACTCACTAGTCACAACTTCTCAGTAAGGTTAGACAGAAATAAATTTTTCAAAAACCAAAAAAAACTATATGATTCACTAACTAACTAACTAATTAACTAACCTGAGCATATCAGCAGTCAGCTGTAACATTTCACGTGTTTGAAAAAATATCAATGCTCGATGTTGACTAAGTAAACTTCGACTAGCATAGAAATCATTTGATGCAGAAGCGATATTAGCTAGTGATGTTGATGAAGCTGACGATGTCAGAGATGAATTGTTACCATTGGTACTACTACTACTACCAGTGCCGGGCATATTGTTCGGAAGATTTGGACTGCCGAAACCACAATCAGTTAACAGGCGGCTATACATTTATCAAAACAAAAAAAGAAACAACAAAATTTCAAACAAAAATCAGGACATTAAATTTCACACGAAATTGATTGGTTCAATGAAAAAGTTTGAGTGACTTCCTAATGGATTTTCTTTATGTGAACTGGCACCGGTTAAAGAGACGTGAGGTTCTAGTGGGAAGCCGTGACCAGAGTAGGGTACAGCAGGTTGAAGATGAGGGAGTAACTCATCATCGAAGAAGACATTGAGAAATAGTCACATGGACCACTGCATCGGGTCCCAGTGGCTCAATGGTCTATAAGCTCGCCTTGTAACCAGAAGGTCCTGGGTTCGAACCATGGCAGTGGGGTGGGTGTGTAATGATGAAGGGTCACAAACTAGAACGAAACAGCTGTCTGTCAGTACTCCCAGCTGGTTTTTCAATGGTTCTCTGACCAATGTCAGCTCATGATGAAATCCTCCATCCAGATATTGAAAACATTGAAAAACCAAAAGAGAATTAAGTAGTTGTGTCCTCCTTCCTAGTGTCGAACTTTCTGACATTAGGATAAAACAATTGTTTATTTGTTGTATATAGCTTTGAACAGATCCGTGGAGCTGTGGTTCAAATGGTTGTGGATCACACGGATTCAAGAAACCTGCGCCACCTAGCCAAGTTTGAGTAGCCAGGTAGTAGTATCATTACTCTTACAGAAAAGGTGTTACTCATTGTTCACTGCATGTGTAACAGTAGATGTGAAAATACGTAACAGACCACCTTATAACATTTGCTATTTTTAGAACTCTCAGATAATTCTATATTTCCCTTTGTTTCTATGTACATCCTGATCATAACTCACTCATTAAACTGTATTACTGTAAGCGCATTACGTCTATTTAACATCTTTTATTTTGGTGTAGTTGTGTTCTCTGAGCTGGGTGCTGGTTTATTTGTGAAGCTTTCATTGCCCCACCATTAGGCCAACACATCTTCAGCGCGCATACTTCAATTTGTTGAAGTGAGCTTTTAGATTTCTCCACGAGTTCACTACTAGTCATCTCTCCCAGTGGGTGACCTTAAACGTGACTCTTTCGTTGTTTTTGTGTGTTTTCACACCCTCTAAGCAGCTACTTGTATTGGAACTGATTGTTTCTTTGACTTGAATTTTGACCCTTTGTGTATGAGATTTTCCTCCTATCAATTGGTGAATTTGTCCATGTCAATGTATCTATTGATTGATGATTCAGTGGAATAACAGGCTCCTAAAAATTCTCTAGAATTCCTGGTGTTTCCTCTGTCTAGTATTTGAACGTTGTCGCAGTCGAATTGATTTCCGCAGTCGTCTGTATGCAATGAGGCGATATAAGGGAGTGGATGTCATGTCTTTTGATGGTTAGCTTATGATCGTGGATACGAAGACGAAGGGGACG